AAACAGACATAAGTACAGTATGTCAGTAACAGTGGATATATTCATGGTTAAAAACTCAATTTTAACTGGAAACTGGTACCTATACTTACCTAATACCTGGCTACCTAAATTTCGAGAAGACAATAAATATAATTCATAGTAGGATGTTAAGTTTTTTTTTTTTCAAACTTGCTAAACAGTTATATATTATCATTTATCTTTATGTATTTGGAGAAGTTACTAGAAAATCCATAGCTTGTTGTCTTTTTTATTTAGAATATGAAAGTTCAATCAAAACGTAGTAGCTAGGTAGGTAGATATAATATTTTGGGGTTACCCATAAATTTGAATTATTATTCAAAATTAAAATTATTATTAAACAAATCAAAGTCATTATAAATATTTTTTTTTTGGTTTATCTTTATTTACAGATTTCCAATTTCTAACTTTCGTGCATTTTCATTAGGTTACCTACTATTACTACTCTCCTACACTTACTCCTCTATCAATGGACAGTGTAATAACTTCTAGTTTAAGAGTTCAAGCCAAAGTTTAATAATATGTTTAGCAGTTGAACATAATATACAATATAATAATATTATTATAGAAATTATTTGATTGTTTTTTTTTTTTACTTTCACAGATTAAAATATTGGTTTATAATATTCCGCAACTATACGCGCGTATACATTATGATATTCTGTTAACATATTATATTATATTGTATAGCATAACTGCATAACCAACTCTAAAACAATATACTATTAACATAATATTGTACGAAATATACCAATACTGCTAGGTACCTACCTACCTCAATAGGTAAAATATGGATTTTCATTCGGCCACAAATGATTATCGGAACACGGCAGTGGACGTCAGTAATTTAGCATGGTGCGTAGAGGTACCTATAACTTAATAACGAAATATATAATATCACTATGGGTACCTAATAGGTACCTGTTTTAATAGCTCATAATATTATAATTATCTAATACAATAATAATATTGTCATCGGTCTAACTAGGGTGTCTGTCGTATACTACAGCTGCAATACCTACTTGTAAACATGTTGTCACACGTTGTCGTTTCACCCACGTTATGTAATGTGTATTTTTAGTGCGTGTAAGTGTGCTTGTGTGTGTGTGTGTGTGTGTGTGTGTGTGTGTGTGTGTGTGTGTGTGTGTGTGCGCGTGTGTGTGTGTATGTGTAGGCACCGAAGGAAAACGGTCGAGACGAAGGACGGTCTCGACTCTCAAGCCGGTGGTAGGCGAAGAGGAAAGAACATAATAATATATACACTAATTTTATTTTAACGAAACGATCGTTTATTGTTTTTATTTTAAACGTTTTCTCTTATTCTTCTAAAATAACACAGCACTTAAAATAGATACATTACACTAACTGACTCGTTTTGTTTAATATATATATAATATAATATATATATATATATTATAATATAATCAAGTGACGTACCTAAACATAATATATAGTTATAATATTATTATATTATCATCATTCATGTATAATAATAATATATATTATATATTATAATGTAGAGGTGTACAAGGAATACGTTTAATAACAATATATTATTATGTAGGTAATAATAATATATAAACGATGAATTTATAATAAATTAATTATAATTATATAAGTTTAAGAATTATTACGTTCTGTATTTTCTCTACGAACGTTCAATAATAATAATAATAATAATAATAAGTATGTACACAGTATTCTACACGACGTCTTCTAAAGACTACGACAATAAAAATAATAATAATAATAATAATAAAACAATAATATGATAAGAATATTTGGTAACGAGGATCATAATACATAAATATGATAATATAATAATAATATAGGCTATGTACAATATTATAATAGTGTTTGCGATAAATAATAATGATGATAATAATAATAATAATATCAATATATTCTATAATAATTAAAATGTATTGCACTATTATTTTTATTATTATTATTATTAATACTATTACGATAATATACTAAATCGTATTTGTATAAATAAGTATATGTTTGTTATATAAGTATTGTATATTATACGTCTGTATATAATAGGGTTATTGGACAAATTGGGACTAGATGAGAAATCGACACCGGCTATGCATCAGTGCGATTCGTTTGCATGACGGCTTCACGAATCTTCGATAATGCTGAAAAATATAAATTGAACACAAATATTATGGTTATGTTTAAATAATAATTGCAAAACGAATTAATTGTGTATTCTTATTATAAATAATTTCGGTTATCTAATGACACAAATATTATACAATGCAACTGTATTGATATGTAGGTACAATCTTATTTCGCATCTATAATATTATAGTTCAATAAATTCTTACTGCACATACACTCCTAAGTAGATTAATATTTAAATTAAATATGTTTAAATTATAATAGCAATATTTAAATATTAAAAACCAAAACATCCAACCAAACCAAACCCATGGGCGCATCAGACCAATTAGTAAATATTAATAAACACTTTACATATAAATTTATCAATGAGTCATTATTTGAATTTTTAATCGTCTTATTAGAAAGAAGCTTTACAGATTAGTAATAAATAAATAATAAATATAATAACAATTTTGTCATTTAAGATTCTGAGCGGAGAAATGTGCATGTTGTGTTTTGTGAATGTCATTTTTTGAAGCAATTGATTTTTACGGGTTTGGTTTTTGGTGGAAAATTATAATATCTATTTAATACTTTGTACTCGTATAGGGGGTAAATTTTGTTATTTAATTTTACCTTATTCAAAATTTAAAAACCGTATCACGCAAGTAACTACTTGACATTTTCACCAAAGATTTATATCCTAACGTGATATTATTTTCAAAATATTTTGACTCTTCTTGAGTAACTATATACCATACTTATTATATACAGTTGAAGTGTTCGACTCCTTTAGTTTTTTTTATTTCTACAGACCAATTTTTTTTTCTTAGCCAAAAACCTTGAAAATTTATTACGAACTACAATAAGTAACCCCACATGGTTTTCTTACTGCAGGAATTGAAAAAACAAAGTCACAAATCACAATCATAATATGCAAAAATATGGGGAGGCTTTAGGCTAAGCCCCAAAAATTGTGATTATAGGAATTTGAAACATTCCTTGATTACCTAAATTGTAATTTGTGTCACAATGAAAACTTCAAAATATTTCGACTATAATTTTAAACTAGATTTATACCATCATGGACCTATTCAGTCGGATATACGATACGCGGTATTGACTTATATAGATATGTAAGTTAATAACAAAAATATTATATAATATCGGTGCCTAAAAATTTTAATCTAGGTAGGTACCTATACTAATATATGTTATAAAGCTGATAAGAGTGTGTATGCTTGAACGAGCTATAATATCTCAAAAACTAATATGGACCGATATTAATTAAAGTTGTTTCAATAGATTCCTTGAAACTAGGAGGGTGTTGTAAGCTCATTCTTTTGACCCTTAGGTATATAGGTTGGTATAGGAGGAATCACGCATGAAATTCATTATGGCTCTCGAAAATCGAACAATTTTTTAGTAGGTTAGGTTAAGTTAAAAAAAAATTCGTACAAGCCATCCGCGGACTCCGTTGATATGGAATTTGTTGTAAATAAATGGAAATAATATATATGATTAATTGATTGTTATTCAAATGTACCTACTTACAATAAAATGCAATGTCCTTATGATTGTATATAATAAGCTTAGATTTATAGACTCAATACAATATTAACAAGCTTGATTAATGTTGACTAAAATTTCGGAGATTGTTCTTATAGGTATCAGAAACAAGTTTGGAGAGAATTTCAAACCACGTTCAAACAACGGACGGATTTGCCCAGCCCAGGCAAATTATGCAAACCATAATGCCTATTACCCGATCTACAAAGATTTTAATTAGCACCGTAATTGTAAATCAGTTCATCTTTAACCGGACAAATTAATATTAAATAATATACTTTCGTTAACGTTTATTTTTAAGGTATAATATAATATTATAATATATACCTTCCTAATCAGGGGCGTCATTTAACTTTTTTTTTGTTGGTGCCAAAATGTTGGCAGGCCATTCAAATCATTACCAGGCCTCGTAGAAAACTTTAGAATATTTGTATAATTAATTGAATATGTCACTTATATTAGTAAGAAAATATCACAATATTGTTACTATTTTTGACAAACTATAATATGCGCACTGTGTAGGTACTTTTAATGTACTTTTAATGTATTTATTTTATATTTTGGATACCAGTGTACAGTGTTTTCACACTCGGTAAATAAATGTATGGGTATAAAACACCTTTATAATAAAATACCTAACCGAACCTACCTATACATTTTTTCTCCCTGAATAATCAAAAAATATAATATAGCTAGCTTAATAAAACCATACATTTTTTTTATGAATACCCTTCTTCAAAATATTTGTGTTATAATTTTATCGATTATAATATTGTGAGACCACAAAACCACATCAAACATTCTTGGAAATTAAAAATGAGTACAATATATATTTATGTTTTTAATACTGAAAAATATAAGACACTTAGGTATATCGGCGCATTATTTATTGTTGGCAGGCCAAAGAAGGAGTTTTAAAAAAAAGTTGGTGCAAATGTACACCCTGCACTCCCCCCCCCCAAAAAAAAATGACTCTCTGTTTCTTTTTAATTCGTAATTATATAACTATTAGTATAATAATATGAGCTTATGATTAATAATATACTATTATTGACTATGGGCCTATATTATAATACATTAATACTACCAAAAATCGAATAGTCAAATATTGTGATCAAAGTTTTAATAATATTAACTAATAATAATAAAAATAAGATATATTTTTTACCTCTGACGAGCTGTTGGTACGTATAATCGTTCGGCACGATGAATTCCTCCACATGACAAAACAGTAAAAATTATATTTTTACCATGTCATGCGTCGAGTGACACGTGACCGCGCGGAGGCGGCGGCCACATCATCACCTGGCCCACGTGGTCTGCTGGAGCGGCGTGAACGCCGAATCGAAGTTCTGCCTGGCCGACGGCTGCGGCGAGACGGCCGCGGCATCGTGGTGACGGCTGACGCGGTGATCACGGTGGTCGTGGCCGTCATCGTCGTCGTCGTCGTCCTGTTCGCGCTGCTGCAGCGGGTGGCGGCCACCGGGTCGGGCCGGTGACACGTTGGCCGGCGGCGCGGCGGGCGACGGCCTCTTGCCCATGATGGAGTCGATGCTGAACCCGGTGGACGGCTGTTTCACGGCCAACCGACCGCCGCCGGCTACCACAGTGGTCGCGTACGACGGCTGTATGAGATTTCCGTGTTGGTGCAATACCAGTGAGGGTGGCTGCGATGGCTTGTACGCGGCCGCTGCTGCAGCCGCCGCCGCGGCCACTTGTCCGTTGTGCAGCAGGTTCAGACCGAACGTTATGCGCGCCAGCTCGGCGGCCGGCAGCTGTAACGGCTGCATGGCGGCCGTGGGCTGCTGCGTCGGCGAGGGTTGCTGTGACTGCGGGCCCTGCTGCAATTGCTGCTGCTGCTGAAGAGGCTGTGCCTGGGCCTGTGACGGGTGTGGTGGCTGCAGATGCGGCGGCGGTGGCCCGAGGTGATGGTAAGGATAGTGATGGTGGTGGTGTAACACCGAGTATGGGTCCGCGGCCGCGGCGAAGTGATTGTGGTGTGGATGGTGATGAGGATGGTGCTGATGGTGAGGATGGTGGTGGTGGTCGCCACCACCACGGTGGATGAAAAAGTCTGAAGGGGCCTGCATGCGCTTGTACCGCTTGCGCCGCCGAAGGAAGCTGCCGTTGTCGAACATGTCCTCGGCCATCGGATCCAGGGTCCAGTAATTACCCTTCCCCGGGTTGCCCGGTTCCCGGGGAATCTTGATGAAGCAGTCGTTGAGTGACAGGTTGTGCCTGATGGAGTTCTGCCAGGCCGGGAACTTGTCGCGGTAGTACGGGAACCGTGACATGATGAACTCGCAGATGCCACTGAGCGTGAGCTTCTTGTGAGGCGATTGCAGTATGGCCATGGTGATCAACGCTATGTAACTGTACGGCGGCTTGACGGGCGACCCGTTTCCGGTGCCCGACGCCTTATCGCCGTCTTCGCTGCACGCGCCGTTCGCTTGTGCGCCGGGCGACGTCGTCTTGCTACGGCGGCCACCACCGTTGTTGTTGTCGTTGCACCCAGCCGCTACGGCTGCCGCGTCGTAGTCGTCGTCGTCGTCGGCCGAATCCACGTTCACGTCCGTCGTCTCAGCCGATCCGACGCTGCACGGCGGCGACACGGACGCAGCCGTCGAGACAGCCTGTACCATCGCGGATGCGGCGCCGGAACCACCGCCGACACCTCTCAAGTCCAGCGGGCTTACGACTTGATGCATGGCCACCGAATCCAGGGCGGCCTGGTATCGGCGGCTGAAATCGTAGACTGGTAGGAACACAGCGGCCGCTGCTGCCGCAGCAGCGGCGGACGAGGAGGAGGAAGTGGCCAGCTGTACAGCGCCTCCACCGATACTACCACTACCGCTGCTGCTGGTGCTACTGCTGCGGTGGTGTTGTTGGTGACGGCGGTTGTTATTGTGGTGGTGGTGGTGTTGGAGGAGGTTGTGTTGATCGTCGTCCTGCATGCCGGCGGTGCTGATCACCACGCAGCACATTTGGCCACAGTCTCGCACGTCATGTACGACGACAGAAACGGGTTCGAAAATTAATAAACTGCAGATGAAACGGCGTATTATATTTTTATTATTATTAAATATATGATGGGTAGAAGAGCGTCGTGGATAAAAACGAAGCGATTAAACGAAGGTAATGCGAAAAAAGCGGTTCACCGAGCAATGAAAATATTATTTACGAAACGTTATCTATATTACGCGGTCGGAAAAGTGAAAACTCTATCGGCAAAGAGCTGGTTATTATTATAGGCGTACGCGACAACGACGGTTGCAGCGACGGTGGCGGCGTCGATTGCGGCGGTACCGTCTATTATTGGTTCACGTTGACGTGTGGCGCGCGATATTATCACTGAGCCGTCGACTGCTGGCGTCGGTATACCGGTGCCGGCGATGACGACGGCGGCCGCCGCCGCTGATGTGGTGGGCGTGGCCGTCAAGCGAACGCGATGGGTGTGGACACGCGTGAACCCGCCGAATGGGCGTGCGGTAAAACACAAACGGCGGCGGCGGTGGCTAGGTGATCACATCATCCTTTGTATATTGCGTATTATATAATATACATATAATGATATTGTATACGCGCTCATCCATCCTGTCCGAGACAAACTGCCGTTCCGCGATTGTGCCAACTGTATAACCGGTGGCAACCTCAATGCGGATTGTTCGACTACCCTCCCACACTACTATATCTGCCACCCCACCGCCCCCTCCCCCCACCACCTCCCGCCTCGATCGTAACCTGCAACCGCCACTGTGGCCGCGCTCGCATTATTTACATCCACCATAGATTACCCATTTATATATATATATATAATATAATATATACATTGGTATTATGTATATGATATGCAAACGCAAATAATTTTATAATGCTCTTTCTCTTTTTTCACTCTTTCTCACTCCCTCTCTTATTCCCACTCGAACGTGTTTCCTCTCTCTCTTCTTCAATCTGTCTCTCTCTCTCTCTCTCTATTTCTGTTTCTTGTCGAGTATATAATATATAGTATATATTACAATATTATCATATACCTACCTTTGTACATAATATAATATATATAAATGTATATCACACCCTGCACTGCAGCACGCATTTATGTGAATCATATACCGCCCTTAAACCTCGGCCGCGGCGCTTTGAAGTCGCACCCAAACTGTTTCGGTAAATCGTCTCTTGACTTATAAATATCTTGGTACGTATAAGAGTTGTATAGGTACTTATATATGGACCCACAGCGCGGTGAAGCTCATAACAATCATGTAAAAGAAAAGCGGCCATGTATATGAATAGGTATATATTTAGGTAGGTATTTGTATGAGTAGGTTCTTATACCTATATTATACACGTTACAACTATAATATTGGGATAATTGTTTACATAGGTGTATATATCAAATAAACAGTATAACGGCTAAGTATATACCTAAACTAACATCAGTAGGCTAAACTTATAGGAGACCCTCGCGTTAAACTAATTCTTTAACATTGTAATATAAAGCCACCTCACTCCAAAGAAAAATCCTGGCCACGGCACAGATATACGTAGGTACTATATAGGTACATATGTATATACAGGTATGTTTTTAAAATTTACCAAAAAATGGTAGGTACCTATATACACATATACGAATATATACCTACGATATACATCTATACACAATAATAGCTAGTATAAATGACCATCATAAAGGATATAATAATATATATATATATAATAGGTATATTTATACCTACTTTGAACAATATAAACCAATGAAATCTAATAAAAAAAGGTAGAAATCTATAAATAAGAAGATCCTTTCCTAATACAACTGTTTTATTGGTAGGTATATAATATTTTATATATAACCAAATTTTATAGTAAGAAAATATTTTTGATTTGAATCTATATAAGTTACACGAATATATATACCTTCTGTGCGGAGCTTATCATAATATATTATATCATATATAGTTATATAGATACCTATGTACCTATTGAAATATTTTTAGAGAAATAGAAACATGTATATTGTAATATATAATATATATATATATATATATTATATAAGTAGGTATACCTATTAGCTGATTCGCCGAAATAAGATCGAAAAACATACATTTATATATAGCCGTGTATTGTAGTTTATAGTACCTAGGTATATAATATTTTTTTAGACCTGCATATAATCGCTATACTTCCCACCGACTCCCTCAAACCTGCTTATAAGGTTCCTATATTATTCATATATAGGCAATTTTGAAGGAACCCGTGGGCATATATCGAATCATTTATTCATCATTGATTTTAACCGCTTATACACTATTCTTGTATATCAGCAGGGATGGGTGACACACAACCCTCGTATACCCTTTTATCCAACCCCCGCTATGTTTTAAGCAATTTAGAATTTTATAGATTGAAATATAAGGTCATTAGGATGCCGATCTGGCCCATGGCACTTTTACATTTTTAAAACTGAAAACCAGCTCTCCGGTAAATTTAAGTTATACAATATTATTAAAGCTGTTGTAAATTATAAAACATGTGAAGGTATTCCATATTATATACCTATAGACTTATATAATAATAATACATCAATGTATATTCATATACACACAGCATACATATATATTATAAAATATAATTGTTTAAGGCAAAAAAGTAAAAAAAATAACTCATACCTAATTTAGCAACATATACCTACATATGGTACCTATAGTATTTTAGTAGTACTTATACCTCTACACAATATAGCCATATGGGAAATATAGCAGGATGCCAAAATGATATATAATCCACGTGTAATAGGTAGGTACTGCAGTATGTGGTATGCATAGGTACCTATTATTATTATTATTATATATTATATTAGGTACATAATATAAGAATATATAATAGCTAGGACTGTGCGATTGCATTTTAAACATTTTAAACTATAATGGCCTATGATGAGCTATGGGTGCATAGTAGTATAGTACCTATAGGTACCTACGCTATGATATAGGTACATTATATTTAACTATTTAAGTATTATTATGTTATACTATATAAGTACCTATATATATATATATATATATATATATATATTCTACTTAATTATAAACGATTCGCTTGTTTAGAGAGTTAAGTAGGCGGGATTAATACGATTACGATGTAGAATAAGCCGGCTAAATAACGACGACGCTATATAAATATAATATAATATAAACTATATTCAAGTTTGGAACGAGTTAAATATAGGTAGGTATTATATACATATTATATATATAAATCGTGTTTCTTCAGCAAGGGAGACTAATAAAAAAAAAAACGTTTACAGAAGTGTTTAGGAGGTGTGTTTCTAATATAATTATTAATTTTTTGATTTATATCCCGTTGACGTCTGCACGACGCGCGTGTATAATATTATAGTGTAATTCCGTTTTTTCACTCGTTTCTTGTCTACAACAGCTTGTCAGTTGTCACCATGGCGACCAACAATAATTTAATACAATATATTATTTGAACATGCCTGCAATAATAGTTAGACAGAGCATAGGTATATTAATATATTATACCTATTAATATTACAATGTTTATATATTATAATATTATATATAAGTGAACACACATATTTATCTACTTAATAGTAGGTATACCTACATATATAGATAAGCACAGCATTAATTATAGACTATAGTATATTTATGTATTGAGTATAATTTTTATATACCTAGGTATGTTACAGAAAATTATATTATATCGAAATATTAATATTATATTTATATTAAGATTAATAAATAATAATAGTAGTGAAAGTTATAATATCATTTTTTAGAGATTGTGTTGTGATTTTTTTTAGTAAATAATGTTAAGAGCAGGACGCGCTACACAGATATTAATTGTCTCTGTCTTACAATAATGCATAACATATCAAATTTAAGCGCAGCTCACGTTTAACTCAGTTAGTTTAAAAATTAGAGTGAGTCGACCCATTATGAAACTTGATGGTAAGAACATTATCTGTGTTTGTATGTGGGTTTTTTTCACGATAATTCAGTTTTTACAAGTGAGTGATGAGCATTTTCAATTTATTATACACGCATAACTTACTAAAAAATTGAACTATCGTAAAAAACCCACGAACAAATACAGATATTTACTTAGGTACTTCCATCAAGTTTTTAGGTCAATTCATTCTAATTTTTAAACTAACGGAGCTAAACGCGTTCTCCTGGGCGTACATTTGATATATGTTACTACTATTGTAAGACGAAGTTAACAAATGACCGGGTACTGGGTAGCGTCCTTTATTAATAACTGTTTGAAATGGGAATAGTGTGCTGATAATATTATATTATAATCAGATACGGGAAATACTTATTAAAATGAATTATGATTATTTTTGCAAACATATTCATAATGTCTGCAGCTATAGCCCATGACTGAACGAGACTGATTCACACCCGCTATATAATATTTTATAAGATAGATCAAGAATACCTATATAGAAAACCAAATAAAGTTGTGATGTTGAAGTATTATATATGGTTGGAATATTATTGATTTATAGCGGACATTGATGCAGAGTACTGCCCAATTTTGTTGGACTTTATTTTCGTTGGTAAAACTTTTTAGTTTTTTCTTTAGAAACTTTAATCCGACATCACAACTTTTTGGTTGCACATTTTTTTATTAACATGTATGTACCTACCTATATTATTATGCCATTTAGGGATTATCCCGAGGCTAAACAAACTTATTTGTTTCTTATGAGATCTACCATTTTTATTGTTAATTGCAGTAAAGAACATATTGTATAATTCCTTGTTAAAAATGTGGGTTATTGGTACCTATTATTTTATTATATATATACCAGATACAATAAATATTCGGACCAGTAGTTTTTGAGTTATTATAAAGTATTAACTTTATATACTAATTATAATACAATATAATCATTAAATTTTATTATTTTCTACAATATGACAGCATTTATATTTGTACAGTATAGGTATAATAT